TCGTAAAATGTACACAATATTTTTATATGTCCTATACGCGTGAATTTATCAATTAACTGGCTATCTATATACTCGTCCGGTAATAAGCGTCAAACATTTCATCGTTTCGATATTCCATATGATATAAGTATGAATCATATATTCAAAATCCTTTCAGTATGGGACTTTACAACTCCGTCCGACTGAGGTAACGTTACGGTAGGATTTTTTATGTACTGGAGCCGTCTGCCATTTCTTAGAATATGCAGTAAGTTTTTTATATAAAGATCCTCATTAACAAAACGACCACCGAGCAAATATCAATATTTCATTTCATATTCACATATTAATTAAATGGTATTTATACAAACAATACAATTTTATACCTTAATAACCAAAAAACGTATTCAGAGTCTTTATTTCTAATCAGTCAATCGGATCAAGAAAATAACGATTAGACAGTCAATAAACGAGACAAACTAAGGCAAATATAAACTGACCAGTTCCGACTCCACTAGTAACATATAGTTATTTTTTATAATTTTTTTAATTTTTCACAAAATACAATATTATTGATTATTAAAACTCAATTTATCGTAATATGGAATATGGTGAGCGATTTTTACCCGAATCAGTGTTTCGAAACGTCGTATTATCTACTACATCTCTTGACGAGTTTCGAATTTTGAATTTTTCATGCAAAAATATAAATACTCATCATATACCTAAAAATATCCCATAAAACTCAAAAGCGTTATTGAAAATATTTTTCTGTCAATTTTAAGGTTTCGGTACGGTGGTGGTTCGTCTCGACCTATATGATTTTGACTGATTTTGCACATATTCATGTAAAAAAGTACGTTAAGAGGCCTCAGTTGGCCATAAAATAAAATAAAAAAATCGAACTTACTGGCGGGGGAGAGGGTGGCCTCTAAGTAGGCCCAAGTCTCCTTCTTGCATAGTCTTGTCCACTTCCTATTCAACACTCTAACTTAAATGTCTTAATTCCTTTTGCCAACTAGTCTATCTTCTCATCACCATTTACGTGTCCTGTACTTACAAATACCTAACTAGCCCATATTTCATAATCTATGACATTCATGCAAGTTTTCTCTAAACATGTATACAAAATACTATAATTTTACACACATGTAGAATCATGCCAACCACATCAGCCCCAAAACATCCACATCAGTCACTCACCATGACCCAACAGAAACACAATAATAGCAATCATAATTGATACACTACTAGAGCGATTCAACCATATAAGACATGCACACACCGACCTTCACTTGGCCACACACACACCAACACCATACCCATACGACCCTTATTCGGCCACACACAGACACACTAACATCCCAATGGCCCTTATTCGACCACACACACACAAACATCCCAACGACCCTCACTCAGCCACACCCCCCCCCCCCCCCCAATGGTCCTCACTCGGCCAAACACACACACACACACAAACACCCAATGGCCCTCATTCGGACACACACACACACACACACATCGGTCACAGTTAGCCACACGCATATACACTAGCAACACCCACGCGTACACCGATCAATCCACATTGCCACAAAAAATTATAGAATGTAGTCCACATATACACACCTCAAGCCCAATCAGCAACACACGCATATTTTTATTAGCACCAACATCAGCGCCTCAAACACTCTCCTGCTGTCACCAATATCAGCACACCAACTCTCCAAACCATCGACATCAATATTAGCACCTCAATATTTTGAATTAGCGACGCACGTCGCCACACTGCCGATTATACTTAGACTCACTCTCCTACCTACAGCCTCTACTTCGCAACACTTATCATTATATTCCAACCATTCTTCATACACCTTAAGTTTAACAGTTTATTTCTTCATCCCTGTATTGTGTCACCCCTCTCTACTTATTCACTTAAGCACCAATTTCACTCCTCAATTTGACTACTCTATTCAAATTATCACTCGTCACCCTGCACTCCCACTCCCTAACCGTAACACTGACAGCCTATACTGCTTCTTGATTGGTAGCTGCTTATTATGTTTTATAAAGTACCGTGTCAAAAATATAGTATATAATTTTTAATCCAAGTTGTGAGGAGTATATTGGACTTACACAACGGGTACAATGATGATATTTAATCCTAGTGACGATCTCTCTTCTCCCTAAGCTCTCTTCGTGTCAGAGTTTATACGCCAAAATGACTTTATGCTTTCGGCCTTTTGGTGCACCACCTATTCCTTGGTCGCTCGAATCCTACTTCTCCTCTCTCTTCATTCGCCCCTTACACAAGGCATACCATACAATTTTTTTCGATCGCGCCACAAATTTGGCCCTCCTCTACAGTGCACACTGATTTTCTTTTTCTTCATTCACCGTCGTCTCTTCCTCTTCTTCTTCTTTTTCCTTCACCCCCGTCTCTCTTCTTTCCCTCTCTCCCGACCTTTGTTTCATGTGCTCGTCTCTCTTCTTCTTCTTATTCCTTCACCACCGTCTCTCTTCTTTTCCTTTTTGTTTTTCTAATAGGAATATTACATATAGTGTATAATTTTTTTAATTATTAAAATTACATTCGGTTTATCAATTTATACCATGATATCAATCAATATACACACTTGACAAAAAATATAAATAATTGTTTATAATTTATTATCATTTTCTTTTAATATTTAATAACATCGAATTAAATATAATATTATAATCACACGTATTGTAATATTTTAGGAAAAAAAACCACTTTTATTTTCTTTACGTTACATTAACCGAACCAAACGCGGCACAATATTTCTGTTAATTAAAACGTATGAATCCTGGAACAAGAGTACCACAGGGACAAGTGTGTCCTAAAGAGCATGGGATGCGGACCCCACTCTATGAAGACGTGGGCCCCACATAAAATAAAATAAAATATAAAAAATAAAAAATGAAAGGTGCCAATTCAAGAACTAGACAAAACACAAACGGGTGGGCACCCCCCCTAGAAGAACAACTTGGACAAGAGACAACATGTTAACGTGTAATCATTGTAGTGGAGATGTCTGCTTGTGTGGGTCCCACATCCATTTTTTTAATATATTTTAATTTTTATATGTATTGTATCTATTGGTGACTCTCGTTTTCATCTATATAAATAAATTGATTTTTTTTTAAAAAAGATTATATAGTTTTACTATTTGTATGAAATTATTGCATAATTAAATTATCTAATTTCAAATCACAAATTAAAAATGTATTATAAAATAATAAAAATTGGTTGATAATAGTTAAATCACATTAGTGGTATTATATTAAAAAACAATTGGATTTTAAATTATATGATACGTTTAATAATTTTCTAAATTAAATAAAATTTGTTAAAATAAAATTATTAATTATTTGGGAAATCTCAATAGTAAAAAGTAAAAAACAAATTACTCTCAATAGTAAAAACTTAAAAAGATAATAATAATAATAATAATAATGAATAATAAATAGTAATTAAAATTATACAAATAAGAATAAAAAAGTAAAATATGAATATTTAAAAGTAAAAAAAAAAGCAGAATAATAATAATTTAATATATTTTTAAAAATTAATTAAATTATTAAATAATAATCAGAATTAATTTATTTTATTAATATATTCTCTCACCTCTTTCTCCTGTATCACTCACTTCGTTGTTATGATTACATCACCAAAATACAATAACAAAGCTTCCATGGAATCAACTTATTTTTGGTATCTACAACTAAAAATATAAAAAAATTAAATTTAAAATTAAAAATAAAACATATGAACAGAGGCAGTGGCAGAGGGTTCTTCTCTCCCATTTCTCTCTCTCCATCTCTCAATTATAATCGCAGGTCTGCTCTGGTGCTTCCTCTTTAATTTCTTCCTAATTACGATTTTATTTTACTTTTTTTTTTGTTTTATAGTTTTCTCCCTCGATTTCCTGTATTTTATCAGTTTCACGAACAGAGCGGTTGAGTGGTTGTTTAGTTGAACCTATCGGAAGTCGGATAATTTTTTTTTTGTTTGTTACCTTCTTCGTTTTTGTCTCGGTTTAAGAATATTGGTTTGATTTGCTCGTGCTGATGAACAACTCTTTCGTTTTCTAGGATTGGCCAATTGATCTTTCACAAATTGCTGGCAATTTATTGATGGTGAAGGAGAGAGGTTTCTTCTAGGGTTTTCTACTGACGAAACTGTGGGCTGCTTGATGTGTATATTTATCCAGTTCATGGTTTTTGATGTGAATCAGCGCAAACTTGCCTTTTCTCTCGTCGGTCTGCTTCGTGTTTCGATATCTGTGATGCTTATTCGGGGTAAATTTTGAGATCTATATTGTTTATCTCTGCTTTTAGGGGTTTTTGATTGGGGTTTAGTCGCCGAATTTCCCTTCAATTATTCTGGTTTTAGCCTCTTCTGATTGTTTCGCTCGTTTTCAAGCTATTTCGAGTAAGGAATTACAAGAAGAAAAAAAGGGGCTAATTTAGGGTATTCAGTTTTAGGGTTGCCGTAGGGGCATCTGCTCTTACTTTGAGGGTTTAGCCGTTTCTAGGATGCATCTTTTCCTCTTTTTGGAGAATTGAATTTTTGCTTGGTTGGGAGGTTTTCTCTTTGAGGATCTGTTGGTTTCTGCAGTTAATAGATGGAAAAGACCATTGTATGCGATAATATGCAAGTAGCTGACGATATTTACCCGGATGAATCCTTCTGCAACGAAATGGAGACAGAGGTAAACGTCACTGAAAGTCCAAACAATGAAATTCAAGGTTTTCCGTCAGAAAGAGGAGAGGGTAGTGACGTTGTGTTCTCTAGAGAGGGACCCCTTGTAAGTAGAGAGTCTAGAATATCTAGTAGTTGTGGTTATAGCTCGAAGAAGCACAAATCCAGGGTGGCTGCAGTGGATTCTGAACTTGCAAAGAAAGAGAAAGTTGGGCATGAGAAGAAGCTCAGTAGACAGGACAGGATTGAATTGGGCCGGCTGTTTCAGAGTGCTGTCAGCTCCCATGATTGGGAACTTGCAGAGAGTCTGATCCTCTTGGCAGACCCTCAAACTCTCAATGATGCGTTGTGTATTACACTAGACTCCATCTGGTTTTTGAGCACACAGCAGGAGCTTTATGGGATCACAGGGTTGATTAAGAAGATTATTGCCAATGGTGCTTATGACTTCACAAGAGCTGCTCTTAGGACTTCTTTTCTGGCATCTTGTGTCTCTGCCTGCCAGAGCCGAACTATGAGTCTTGCAGATACGGTAACTGTGATGGCTCAAAGGTAAAAGTGCCTACTCTCACTTCTATGTAGCCACCTTTTTTCTGCTTTGTCTCTAAGTTCTTTGTGTTTTATTTATTTTGTTCTCATCTTTTGGCGGTTTAATTTCTCACTAATATAATTTTTCCTGCCAATTTGTGTTTTCTTTTTATTTTTCATATCTATGAATGTCAATCACTCAATTGTTTCTCTGGTATGAATTGCTATGGAAGTATGGATAGTCATGTGATCTTACCTGGAATCTCCATGGTGCCCTCAATTGGCTTAATCGATGATATTTCTTTTATAGCGTAAGCATAGGTTAGCATTTATTGAGTAGAAATTTTGTCAACCTGCTATTTTGGATGAATCTGTGTGACATTTTGTACATGAATCTTGATAACATCCATTTCCTTCTTGACTTTTAGCTGCTTGTTCCCAATGTCTTTGCTGATGTTTTGCTAGACAATTAACATGTCAGTCTGTTTATTTTTGTGTCATAGCAGGCTGCATGAGCGTCTCCAGGAGTGCAATGGGGATGATGTTCTGAAGGCAGAAGCTGGTGCCAAAGTCCAGAAATTTACTGAATGGGCTCTCAAATGTATAGGTTTCCATTCTCGCTGCCAAGGGAATAGAGATAAAGTGACGCATAATTCAGCTGTAGAGATCCAACTCCAATTATCAGCATTCAAGACTTTCTTGGATCTTGCTGGGAACCAACTTACAGGAAAAGATTTCACAGAGGCCTTTGATGCAGCTTGCTTTCCCCTGACTCTCTTCTCTAGTTCGTTTGATCCTGGGTGGGCATCTGGAATATCAGCCACTGTAATACAGGGATTACTGGGTATGTTAGTGGAGGGGGGTGCTGACAACGTAAATCAGTGTTTTCTTGAAGCTTCGCGCTTTGGGAGTACAGAACTTGTGCGCATTCTATTGCAGGTAATCTTACTTCTCTGGATCCTAATGGCTTAGCCTTTTCAAGAGAGTTTTATTTTCCACGTTCTACTTCTCTTTTGGTAGCCCTTAAAGGGCATGTATATGGCTCTATAGAGCTTATGGAAGGCAAGTAATGTTATGGTTACTAATTGGCCAACAGGCCATTGGGTTTGCAAGGTCTAATCTGCAGTAGTTTTATCAATATATTCAAAACCTTTGAAGTGAAAAGAATATAAAATGTTGCTGCAAATACCATTCTTAGATCAAGTTTTTGAGTTTGATTGTGTTTCCAATGTATTAACATATGGATCTGTCTGATGGGAAATCACATAAAAGAAGACTGTTGACATCTATTTTAACACGAGGAAATAGCAGATTAAAATCACTAGCAGACTTGGTTGTTCCAAAATTTACCCCTTTATTAGTTTATTTGCCTGAACTTGGTTGTCCCGTCTAGACTACTACTGTAGACACAGCACTAAAGGGAACCCAAATGGAATTAGGAATTTTTGTTAAAAGACGCTGAAAGAGAGTCCATAAGATAGATCAACCTGGAAAAGATGGAGAAAAAGTGAAGGCAGAGAAGGGGAAACAGTTTTGGAGGAGCTTGATGAGAAATTGAGTTGAATTAATGTAAATTAAGTGTCATGTTTTTTATGGAGATGGATTTGAAAGTGATGAAAACAAGGTCCCTTTTGTTACCTTCTACCACTGCAGAAGAACAAAACTCTAAATTAACTGTTTATAATGGTCAATAAGAAAACAAGAGCAGACTGTAATGAGCAATATAGTTGCTATTTTTATGCAGTTTTTCTTCTATTCTTTCTCTATGTTTTGCTTTAGGAGATCTCTTCCTCTGGTTGTTTACTTTTCTTTCTTCTATCTGAAAAAAAAGAAAGAAAAAAAAAGCAGATTATAATGAGAAACATAGTTGGCAGTCACTGCCTATGAGTGCTGAGTTGGCATTAGTTCCTCTTCTCTCTCAGGCTTGGTTGGTTAGTCAAGCTTCTACCATTTTGAAATGGTAATAGTTTTAACTGCTTTGTCAATCTTTTCAGTGCTTCCATTTTAATTTGTTGGCAATTACATTTCTTCACTCAGGTGATAGTTTTCTTTTAGGATTAAAAATTTTGGTTTATTTGTTCTATCCAAAAGAATGTCCATTCTTCTGCATAAGGTGGCACAGGATTATCAATTTTAAACTGGAAAGTTTGAACATAATTTATCAACTAATCATTCAATTGGTGGTGTGAGATTCACTTGTTAATCTGATTGGAACGAAGGACTTCAAAATGGTACAAGTGCTATTGAGATTAAAGGGACTGATGGAAACTAATCTTAAATTATATGGACAAGCTCTGTGAGTAGACGGATAAATAGCTGCAGGCTTAAATGAAAAATGCAGGCAGAAATGACTAGAAGGAGCATAGTGCAGACTGGAATTTACTTCTCCATAAAGCGTCAAACCCATCCTTTTTAGATAAAGTCATTAGGTGGTTGGTTTAAAGTCCATTAAAAATTAGATATCCTTGCTGATTCATCTAAATTAATAAATTTATGAGGGATTTGGTAGGAAAATGGAAGGTTCTTTTGGATAAGATATCGCTTATTTTTGTTGGGTTGTAACAAAAGTGTGCTTGCCTAAGCATTCCCTGGTGCAAATAGTTTTAATTCTATTTGAATTCGTCAATGAAGTACATATGCCTTTACAAGTAGGAAATAAAGGCAAACAAGCATTTTGGCTGAAAATGCTAGCTACTCCAGGCTTGATGAGGCATGGATGGCCTTGAGGGAGCTGGCTAGAGGCTGAAAAATGAAAGTTCTTCATCCTTAATTATGAACATATACGTTACACCCAAATATTGGAAGAAGATGAAGAAAGCAGGAAGAAAGTGAAAGTGCAAGCTGCTCCAGGCTTGATGAGGCATGGATGGCCTTCAGGGAGCTAGCTAGAGGCTGAAAAATGAAAATGCTTCATCCTTAATTGTTAACATATATGTTGACACTTTAGGTTTCTAGTTTAGGCTTAATTAGGAAAGAAGATATTAATTGTACTGGGAGTTGGGAATAAGAGAAAATAGGCAATATTTTTCCGTTAATTAAGCTTGTAATTAGATTAAGCTAAGATCCTTAATATTAGGAAATCAGTTTCTGTGTTCTTTTTCTCCTATGCACATGTAAGCTATTTTGGCCCAAAAAACATCAGTTAAGGATTTATCAAAGAAAGGGCTTTAGAGTACCCATCTACAAGAGGTTGCAGGATTATCTACAATGAGTCCTAAACATTAATTCATAATAGGTCTCAGGATAAGAAGTCTTAGAAACAAGCAGCATACTTGATTCAAGATTTCAGCCGTAGTTGACCCATAACCTGATCCAAACTCGGTACTGTATCAATATATTGTAGGTGATGAGTTCAAAATATCCTTAAGCTTAATCTCCATCTGAGTTGTTCTTTTCAGAATTCCCATGCTTTATGGGATAGTGTTAGAAAAATGCTGTGGAGAAACAGAAATGGGCTAAAAATACTCTAGGTTCTGCAGATGACTGACATTCTCCTTTTGTTGGCTTGCTGTAGCTTGAATTCTTTAATGTTTCTCTTTTTGGAAAATGCATTATGCTTTATTTCCATTGTCATAATTATTTTTTTGTTTGGCTATATGGCATTTATTTATTTATTCAGATTGCCCAAAGGAACAGCTTGGATGTTGATGTCGACTTGGCTCTGGGTTTTGCGTCACATTACTGTAAGATTGGCACAATGGAGTGTCTAGTTGAAGAAGGTCATGCTATTGCTTTTTTGGGCCCATTGATGAGGGCAGCTGAGAGAGGATGCATGCAGGTTGTTCAGTGGTTTGTTAAAAGGGGTTGTCGGGACATGGAGCTGTGCCTGGCACTAACTGCTGCTACTTCCAGTAGTCAAGTTCATGTTGCGTCTTATCTCCTCCCTCATGTCCCTCAGCATGTCCTTGCAGCACTCAGTATTGAAATTCTGAAGGCTGCTGGTGAAAGAAGTGGTGGATCTCTTGATGGTGTAGCATTTCTCCTCCGTTCAGATTTCTTAGGTGATCCTGCAGCTACATATGCTGTTGCAGACAGCATTGCTGCATCCGATGATGAGGCTGTTCCAGCTGAGCTGAAGGCTTTTCTTAAGGAGCAGTGGTCAGAGGCAGCTTTTCTCAATGGACGAAAGCAAGGACAACAACATTACATGAACATAATGATGATTTTGAAGCATGGCAGTTCTCCTATTTGCCTGCGAGATCTGCCGGCCCCCTTAAGAGTGGCAATAGCATACCTGCCGTTGTACAGGGAGTGTGTGAAGGTGGGTGGTTCCTTGTTGTCGCAGAGGCTGAGGGGGCAACTAGTTGAAGCTGTACAAAGGCTTGGGGGTGGCATCTTGGAAGAGGTGGGTCAAGGCAGAGAGCTGCTGGCTATTTTGGAGCACCACCTACCTCCATTTTTGGTTCATGCTTCCCAAGTTGGTTATTAGCAGATAAGAACAAAAAAAAAAAAAGGACAAAAAATTTAGGTGCTGGGTCTTTCAGATTTTCACATATCACCTTTTTTACCTCTACAAGGTCTTATATGTGGCATAGGTAATAATAACAATTTACTGCTGGGTAAGATCAAGGGTGGCACAAGGTAAAAATCTCTTTGAAGGGTTTGTCACGTTTTCCTACCAAATTACCCACCATCATGTGGTTGGCTTAAACCCAAATAGAGCTGTCCCTCCTCTCTCTCTCTCTCTCTTTCTATATATATATATATATATACATGGAAAATGCATATATATTATATATACTATATATATACATATCATCTAATGGATGTGTGTATGTGTATTGAAGGATTTATGATGGAAAGACAAGAAGAGAGCACAATACTATGACAGACAGGAGTTGAGATTGGTGATGTATGATATGAGGATGTGGGGGAATGTATATTATAATGTCTGAAAGCCTTTGCACTTGCTCTCCTTTATCCAAATCCTTATAAATATTTTCATTTCTTTACTTTTATCAAACTATATAATATGAAATCTCAATGAAGGGATAATCAAGGAGTACAAAATAAGTCTATAAATGTATACCGTGCGTAAATTATATATATCTGTAAGTTATTTTATAATATACCAAGTAAACTGTAAATATTTTTATTTAAAATCTTCTCAAGGAACTTTTCTTTTTCTATTTTAAATGAAAGATATATTTCGTGGTTATTAAATATTTATAGTCGGATAGTCATAATAAATTAAAATTTTAATTAATTTTTTTAATAAAAAAATTCATGCACCTTTGTAGATGTCTATAAAACCTTATTGATGAGAAAAATATTTTTTTTTAATTCTAATATAATTGTCTATTAATTTTATTAGTATTTTTATAATAAAGTTTTATTATTCAATCTTGTATAAATATACGGATAAATTATATTTTAATATTGTGATTTTATTTTTTTAAAGGCTAAAAAATGTATTTTTTTGTATTACTTATTATCTCTTTAATTTTCTTTTTTTTTTCAAAATTCAAATTTTATGTTTTATATGTTTTGTCATTTCGGAACCTTAGAAATATGTATATATATATATAATACATATAACCATTTATTTTCTAAATAAATTATTGGAATTTCTTTAAGTTACCAATAAATTATTAATTTTTTAAGTAATTTTCTAAACAACCCTAGACACCTTAATCACATTCGACTAACTGCATGTTGGATCTGCACAGCTTTTCTTGGTTCTTAATTAATTATGTATTAAGAATGATTAGTGAAAAATTAATTTTTTAAAAAGCATACTGCTAAAAAAATGCCAATAGCCATGATGGGTCAAAGTCAACGACGCAAGGGCAAGTGATTTTTTCTTGGAGGGCCGCACGCTACATTTTACCGTGACCAAGTAAGCCTTCAATCTCCCAATAATTCTCCATTTAATTATTAAATAAAATACATTATGAGATAATTAGAGAAAATTGTCAATTTTTTTTAAATAATTTAGCCTAATATAATTTGAATTTGCTATGTTACATAAAATTAGTAACTTTTAAAATTTTTATATTTAAATTTTCACAATTAATATTTAAAAATTTAAATATCTCAACTTTATAAAAAACTAGTACTTTTATATAAACTATTAAAAGAAAAAAACTAAATTAAAAAATAAAAATTAGATTACAATATGACTAAATTGTATTTTATGTTAACATGAATAGCTTTATATGTGTTATTTATAGTTTATAGTGGTCGCACTTGTATTTTGTTTACAAGTTATGAATTCAAATTTTATTAAATATGTAGATTTTATTATTTTGTAGATGTATTGTGAATTAGTAATAGTCGAGACATAATATTTTGATTTAATATGAGTAAAACTTTAACTCATTAGATTATTACTGAGTTTACGGTGATCAAATTGTACTTTATTTTAACGAGTCATGATTTATTAAAGTAAAATGAATAATTCACGATGATTAAATTATTTTACTCTTAAGATATGATTAAATTTAATTAAATACATAAATCTCATTATTTTGTAAGCATATTACGAACGAATGATAGTTAACATATAATATTTGATTCATTAGCAGTAAAAAATTAACTCGTATTAAAGTATTGGTAGAGTTACGATACCCAATTTGTAATTTATCTCGACGAACCACAACTTATTTGGACAAAATAAAACAATATATGACATTAATTTTTTTTTATTGAAATAATTATAACGTGATAAAAAAATTCAATCAACTTTTTATAATTTAAACAAAAAAAAAAAAGTGACACTAATCTATTCCTCAAGATAACACAATTATGCAAGTGACCCATCAAATCATGGTCAATCACCTTATCAAATATTTGATTATCCGTTATAATTTTATTTATCTTATGAAAAAAAAAATTATATAATCTAAAATAAATTATAATAAAATTTGAGAGATAATTATTTATCATATAGTATGAAACATATTATTGTAACTAAAATTCTTTTATTGAAAAAAGCTATTTATATTCCCTCTTCCTAAATTCCTTGTATTTATCTCCATCCAAACATGGTCTAAAGATGAATATGTAACATTGGTGGTGTATGTAGAGGATAGAAGTAGCACTTGTTTGGTGTTAGCCATTCACATGATATGACCCTTTATGATAATTCATTCATTAATGGTGAATAAGTAGGAAATAATTATTATAATTACTTTACTTTATACTTTCAATAATCATAGAAAAATATAATTATATTAATGTATATCCCATATATAAAATACTTATTTTAAGTATATAGTTTCTTCAAGCAAAAATATTAATTATAATATAATATTTTAATAAAAATGTATCAAAATATACGATGTAATTTAAACTCACAAAATAAAAAAAAAATTATTATCCATTATAAAAATAACCCATTAATTTTATATTTTATATATATATATTACTTTATAAATATATTACAAATTAACAATGATTAATTATTTTATTCAATAAAATTAAAATTTTAACAAAATTATTATGTTTTTAAATTTAAAAAAAAAATTCAATAAACTTTACATTATATATTTAATGTTCAACAATTTATGCAATGGATGATCGAACAAAGAAAGGGCAAAATTATCAAATAAATTGAAGTAATCTTTTTCCTTTTTGCTTCTAAATTTCTTAATCCAACATATAAAGACAATTGCAAAATTGTATGATAAATGAAAAAGAAAGAAATGAACATATCTTTTTTTTTTTTGTTCTCTCTGTGTTCTTCCTCTCCGTACACCATTTACATATACGTATAGGTGACATCCCTGATATTACCAGGCATGAAAGCCAACACCATGAGCAGAGCCAAGATCCCAATAGGAACCAGCAGAAGCAGGAATGGCGGAGGCGGCAATGGCGGCAGAATCAGTGGAAGAATCAGCAGTGAAGCTGTTAAACATGAAAGTAAAAGCAATGACTCCAAGCTGAAATAGTTTGCTGGTAATAATTTTCTTGAGCTTCCTTGTGAGAATGATCTGTTGTAGAACTCTATTTTCTTTTTCTCTAACGGAGGAACGTTGTGATTCAGAGCTGGTTTTCTTTTTCTTGGATCCATTGTAAGATTTTTTGAACAATGATCTTCAAGATTGATTATTGGTTTTGGTAGCCTCAGATTTGATCCAGAAACTTCAATAGCTCTCATTTAAAAATGGTTCCCTCCTGCCAAGTTTTCTTCTTTAGAAGAACCCAACAGCAGGATTCAGATTCCAGCTGCAGACCGATTCAAATGGCAAAACCCAGAGGGGAGTTGACCAAGATTTTGACAATGGTGGTGACTGGAAGCTCAAAACTCAAGACTTGCTGGCTTGGAAGGTTTGATCTTTAACAAGAAGATTGATGAAAGATTAAAACCCAGAAGCTGAAATGCTGCTAAATTATTGTGTTCAAATCTTGGGAGATTTGACTTGAATCTGAATAAACTGGATTTTGAACTCAATCAGAAGGATCTAGGGTTCAAATGTGGAATGAACAGAACAAGAACAAGATCCCCGAATTCTCTGCTCAACTTTACCCAAAAGTTTGAAGCTTTTTTCAGGACTTGATGATTAATGGATCTCAAATTCTCTCTCTCTCTCTCTCTCTCTCTCTCTCTCTCTCTCTCTCTCTCTCTCTCTCAGTTTGTGGGGAAAAAGAAGCAAGCTTTATAGAACTTCAGAACCATGAAACATCATCACCAATGATCCAACTGCACAACAGAATTAAGCCAGAATCCAATAAGATCATTGAGTTTATTCATTTAATCACCATTAAAAACAAGAAAAATACCAATCATACACCACGTACTCATTGTAAACAATGAATTACTAGCAGCATCATAGATTCACAAGTAAAAGAATTCAACCCATCACAAAATTTAGATTGACAAATCAAGATTCATATCACTAGAACACCCTTTTTCCTCTTAAATAAATATCAGGATTACAAATTTTTTCTTAAAAGAAAAGTAATGAAAGAATCCAACTTGGGAGAATTGGTTAAGACCCAGAAACATAAACCAAATCAGAGTTGAAAAAGGAAGAAAACCCAGAAACTATATGAAGATTAAAGAAGAAAGAATAATCATATTGATAAGGAAATATAATAAAAAAAGAATCACCTGTGATGTTGTAGCCTCTGGTGGTGTTGGGACTGAGATGAAGAAGAAGATTTACCAGATAGATAATAAGAAAGAGGATATAGATGCAGCTGATATATTCTTTGCATATCTCAATCACTTTCCAACCAAGAGAAATAAATTAGCAAATCAGATATTTTTCTCTTGAGCTGTTCCACTCAACAACCATTGAGAAAAGGGGAAGAACCCATCAACACCAAAGGAAATATTAATGGTTTAGACTGTGGAATTTTTATAAAGAAAAGATGAAAACTTTGGTTTCTGTTTGGAAAGATGGAAAATGGGGGAATGTTGTTTTTGTAAGTCTGAGTTTTTGAAATAAGAATGAAAGGGGGTGGATTCAGTGCATACCAAAATCAAAATGAAGTGGACAAGTTGCTGGTTTTGGAAAATAAAGGAAAGGGGGGAAGGTGGTATGTGTCTCCCAAGGTTCTTCACCCCTGGACTCTCCATCTCTCTCTCTCTCTCTCTCTCTCTCTCTCTCTCTCTCTCTCTCTCTCTCTCTCTCCCTCTCTCCCCTCTCTCTCTCTCTCTCTATCTCCTCTCTCTCTCTCTCTCTCTCTCTCTCTCTGTACATTTATTTACTTTTTTCTGAAGATGCATTTATTGACAATTTGACATCTATTTACTTTTTTTTTTGCAATATTTTAAAAAAAAAATTGTAGAGTAGAATATGTATTTTATATGAGCCATGTATATTATTTATATATAAATATAATTTATGTATTAATGTAGATAATTTCCAAATTTTTACATTGATAAAAAATATTGTACCTTTTTCTATTAGTAATTCAAATTTTTTGACCTTTTTAAAAATTAAAAAATAAAAATATAAA